CATACTTGGGCAATTCGAGGAGTTTTTATGTGAAGGGTGGAGGGAAAAAGACAGGATTGGGCAGATTTATCTGATGAGGACTTGCACAGGACGGATGGAGACAAAATTTCACTAAAAGATGGATGAATTGGGGGGATGAAGAGAGATGGGATTTATCGTCTTTAAAATTCCCTAATTAAAATTTTTCTACCTAATTTTAGAGAAGAAAATTTTACTCTCCTTTAATATCCCCTCCTTTTAAAAATTCCTCCCAATTTCAAATTCTCACCTTCAGAATCATCGTGTCTTTGAGACACCTACAGGGAGCAGCAAACAGACCCAAAATGACCATTTCCACCAGAACAGACACAATGCTATTTAACATTTTCACAGTGAAAGAAAATTTGAGCTGAGAACCACACTCTGTCCTGTTCCCCGCCCCTCCTTGGGATTTTCCTAGTTTTGGTTTCTGTTTTTCAAAATAACCAAAGAACAACTTCCATTTTCTTTTCCTTCTCCTGAGTGCTGCCAATTTTCTTTCAGGGAAAAACAAGAAGCTTTGAAAACCCAACTTTGGGTAATTCACACTGCTGGAAAATCCCTGAGAATTGTGAGGGTTTTTTTCTGGAGCAGCCCCAGATCTGCAACAGATCTGGGGTGGGTCTGCCAGGAAGCCACCTTGGAGCCTTTATCATTCAGCACCTGAGGCAGGTGTTTCAACAGCTCCTTCAGCTGATAAGACGAGTATAAAAAATATTTAGGAAGGATCTGTTCCAGTTGTTCTGTTAACTGTGGGATAAGGTTGGATTGATCTGCCCTGATCACAGAATCATCACGGTTGGATTGGAAAAAAACTACGGACCATTTCTTGGAGATCAGAGTAAATACCCTGGGACCAGATCTTGGAGGTGTCAACTGGATCTCCACCTTCCATCAGGTGTTTTTTTGGAAGATGTGGAGATGCCACCAACTTGGAGCATGGAGGCGTCCTCTGGGATGGCCCTCAGAGACTCCAAGCTTGTGTCTGTGTTTCCTGAAAAATCAGGATCATCCCATGCCCCAGATTTTAAGGGAGGTCTCCTTCCCACAATGTCCGGAGCTCCAGGTGACCATGGAATACTCCAGCTGGAAAAAGGGAGGTCTGTGGCTATGCTCTCAGGAGGTGGCAAAGAGGTGGAACCAGATGGAACCAAAACACCAAACCCAGACACCAAAGATGAAAGAAAAGCAGAAAAAAGCCCACAGAGAGCTCAGGGTTGAGGGGAGGAGTCACTCACCAATCCCAGTCATCTCTCCAGGAGGAAGATGAATCCTCTGCTGAGATTGGAATTCATTTTATACCCCAGCTTAAGGGGAAAAAAACCAAAAGCAATCTGGTGCTTCAAGAAAAACCTCTGCCAATCAGTGCAACCCGGAAGGGAGTGAAGTGGGATCTGTCATTAGAAGGGGAACCAGCAATTGACTAGACTTAGTTCCACTGCTGGGTTTTTGTTTTTTTTCCCCTTTACTCACTGGAGTAAAGCCATGAGGCCACTGCATGTTTTGGGATGTACCATGTTGACCGCACCCTGCTCCACCAAAGGCAGCAATTTCCCAGAAGGGAACAATCAGGCTAGGGTTTTTTTCCTGGTATTGCATAAAGCCTGCTGAAATCTGAATAACCATCACGGGGATCCTTTTGAACCCTGGGGAGATCTTGAGCTGGCATTCAAAATATAATTTCAAGAATGAAAATGAGCATTTCCAGGGAAAAGTCACCTACTGGATGCTCTTGGGTGTTGACAATTTTGGCTTGATTTTGTCTCCATCAGAATAGAGGGGATGAAGAATTGTTTGTGTGGGAAGGAGACCTTAAAGATTATCCAGAACTTCACTGAAATGGCAAAAACTGGGTATTTTTCTAGGACTGAGACCAGCATTTTTCCAGACTGGAGATCTTGGACTTGCCAAAGCACCTTAAACTCATCCGAGGAACCCTCTCTTTGCTCTTGGACCAAGAGCTCGAGTCTCCTGCTTGGAACCAACACCCTCACCAGGCTTTATCATGTTCAATCACCACAAAACTGTGGGGTTTCACTAAATATGATTATAAAATATCTCAGGATGGAGGAACATTCAGTCCAACAAAATTTATGTAGAATTTTGGAAATTCATGGCAAGGGTTTTGCAGATTGCATTTGTGGGATCTCCTGGTTTAGCTGGAATTGTGACATGAAAATTGTGGGCTTGTGGTGCCGTGTTCAAGGGATCTCCTCAGGAGAAGCCATGATATGGGTTTTGCCCAGAATTTTGCTTTTTTGTGGAGTGTGGGGGTGGTTTTGTGCTTCCTGCAGGATTCCCAATACCACGTTCCTGGTTGTGCTGTTTTGAAGGTAAACCAGTGGGGGAAATTAACTGCACACAAACACCTTGGGAGAGATTTTAAGGCATAGTTACAATTTTATAGAAAAATTACAATAAATGCAATGAATACAAGAAAATTACTTAAAACCACAGAGTACAGCCTGTCCCCTGTGAGTCAGGGTGGTGGTCACTGTCTGATTAAGCAGTAATCAGTGCTTTGGTTGAAGTGACGGTTGCAGTCCCTGTGGAACTTGTGGCCCTCCTCTGGATCCACCCAGTGGTGGTGGTGGTATCTCAAGTACTTAGCCCTTGAGATTATATGCAGTCAGATTCAGGGGGCACATCCCCCCAGATGGGAAGTTTCACAATGCATTGATGAAATCCTGTGAGTCACAGGATGTTTTTGGGACCCTTGATGTTTCTTGTAGCTGTGAGTTCATGATGGCAGGGAAGACTTCTTCCAAGGGGGTGTCACTGTGCTGTCTTGGTTAAAATTGGGTGACAAACACCTTTGGAAGACTTCCTTCTAAGGAAAACTAAAGGACTGAAGGTTTTTCTTGGTTTTTTCTTTTGTCTTGGAGCATGTCTCCATTTAAGAAAATCTACCAGTTGAATGGTGGATTGGAAAAAGGTGAAACTATCATTTTTTTGGGAAAAAACCCCTTGGTTTGGGTCTGATTTTATGTTTTGTGATTTGTGGTCCGCTGGTTGTTCCCCTGTGGGGGGAACTTCCCCCACATATTATATATGTGAACTTCCAAAACCATGTATTTTCTCTATCTGAAATAACAAATCCTGAGGGATGTGGGCATTGCACAATGAAACTGGCACAGATACACATTCCCAGGAACAGCAGAGAGTTTGGAGTGAAGGCAGCTGGTTTCACATTGATAACATGGATTAATTCACATTAAGACATGGATTAATGTGTGTCCCAACAAGCTGCTTTTGAGATCAACCTCAATGATGGGGATTTATTTTCTGGGCATCAACAGTCTACCAGTTGCAAAAGTTGTCCTTCCCAACTTCCTGCTCCCATCTGTTGATTCCCTGAAGGTTACAGGAAGGTGAGTTTCTGCCTGACATCTGTTGCATCACAAAGCAGGTGATTAGAGGGTGGGAGAAGGGTTCGTGATTTCTTTCCAAATTGCTCTTTTCTGGTTTTAAGGTTGACTTTTATTAAAGGAAGGAGAGGGGGGAAAAAAAGTGGGATTTCATTCTACATGTTGTGTGGGACATCACGCATGTGTTGGCGAGCACTTGGAATGGAGGAGGGTTTCCCTGTGGAGATGAAAAAAGACTGTATATGTAAAGCACACCAAAGAAAATCTTGGGTGGATTTATTAATGAGGTAATTATCCTTAATGAGTCTCTGGGCCGGCAGGCACAGGTTGGAGAGGTGTGGGCAGGTCCTGTTGAGGAAAGATGCCCTTTCAAAACATTTTCTTGTCCTTCACTTCCTGCTTGCCCAGAGGATTCCTAGGATACACCTGTTGCATGTACTCGTGTAACTCTGAGGCAAAACTTTTGGGATTGGGGGGATAATTCAAGAAATGAATGCACCAGGGAGGAGTTTCTTGGATGAAACTGTCCAAAATCGGGGTTCTCCTCATGAGAAGGATGGGGAGCTGACAGAGGAAGTCCTGAGGAGGCCACGGCAACGCTCCCAGGCTGAGGAAGTTGGGGTTCTCTTGGAGAACCGAAGGTTCCTTATTGGGGTGAGCTTACTGGGGCTTCCAGTGTTTGAAGAGAGTGGATACAACAGGGACAATTTTTTATCAGGGATAGGAAAAAAAAAAAGACAGAAAATTATATTTTATAAAGAGCTTTTAGGAAAAATGTGTGACAGAAGTGGAATGTGACTCCACGCCTCTATTTGGGGACGAGAATTCACACAGCAGGGATAGCAGGGCCTTGAGTCTGATGCCTTAGGCCACTCAGCCATCCTGATGATGCCAGGACTCTTCTTCACCCTCATCATCCTCAAGGATCCATCTTCTCAGCACTTGGGCTTTCCTGCTTCCTTTGCAGCCCCCCCTTCCCAATTTTATTTAGTTTTCCCATCAATAAACCTCTTCCCAAGCTTTTTTCTACTCTGAAGTGGTGTGGGGTGATGGAAAGAGCAATTCTGGATCTGCTGGCCCCTGCAATTGATCCCTGGTGGCTGCTGGAGCCTTCTGGGGACCCTGAGGATCCGGGGGCTCTTCCTGCCCCAGCCTGGAAGTTTAGGGGTATTTATCCCACTACTTTTATTCGCGGCATTGTTATAAGCAGCTCACCTGGAGCTTTGAGGGGAGAAAACCCACTTACTTTGACCAGGAAAACACCAGCAGGGCTACTTTTCCAGGTAAAAACCACGAATTTCTTCCTGCCTGCTGCTGATTTGGAAACAGCAGTGTCCCCTCTCTCACCTGGGGGGGGATTCCAGCGAAACCCTTCCACATTCCCACCACCATCCGTGATCCATCCGTGGTCCTGCTATCCCAATCTCCCTGGCACAGCTTCCAGCAGGGTCCTCAGACCCTCCGGGTCCCAGCCGGGGAGACAAGGCGGGTGACAGAGCAGGAGGATGGGGGGCTCGGCGGCTCCCCGCAGTTCCCAAAGGCTCCGTGGGAGGTTCGGAGACGGGTCTGGGATTACTTTACCTCTAGAGGGCTCTGGGTAAGCGCAGCTGCTTCTTGGCCTCTCCTCTCCCGGATACCGTCTTGGGCTTCCGGAGCGGAGCTGAGCTCGGCATCGCCTCCATTGTGTCCTGGTGGGGAGGCTTTGTGGTCCCGGGGTGCAAGGGGGGGTCTGGGCATCGCCCCCTCCCTGCAGCCTCAGCGTGGGAACGGAGGGCGCTTCTCCCAAGGAAAAGCCTTGTGGAAGCGGCTGCAGGCTCGGCTGGCAGCCGAGGAGCCGGAGCCGGCAGGTAACGGGGCGAAAGGGCAGCGGGAATGCGCTTCGGCTCCCAGCGCGGCTGGAGACGGCCGGGGGGGTGTTCCCGGCAGCAGCAGCAGCTCCTTTGTGGAGAGAACAAGGGACAGGCAGGATGGAGACTTAGCCCTGGGCTCCGCAGGCATGGGGATGCTCCTGGGATACAGCCCGCAGGGCCCCATCGCTGGTTCCCGGTGGCACGGGGAGTGGAGGAAGCGGGAGGCAGAGATTGCTGTGGATGGGGTCTGCCAGAAAGGCGGGGGGAAAGCAGAGACCCTTTGTCCTGGGGTGACTGCCCTAAACTAGGACAGCCTTCTGCCCCGCTGTTCCCGCGTTGTTCTGGGGGCGCTCAGGATTAGTCCTGGACGGAGGGACGGTGAAAAGCCGACATTGCTCGAAGTGACCACAGGAAAAGCATGAAATCTCGAGTAGGAGGCGCTGTGGAGGGATTTCCTTGATTTCAAGGGATTTCTCCTCCCTGCAGGGGATTTTGGGGGAGCCCCGAGGGAGCAATCTGCATTGTGCTGGTGCTCCCTCCTGCCATGGAGCCGTGGGTGCTGCTGGATCCGCGGCAGAAGGCCCTGTACCTTGACGTGATGCACGAGAGCTACGAGACCCTCATGTCCCTGGGTAAGGAAGCCCCAAAAATCTCTTTCCTTGTTGTGTATCCCCCTATCATTTCCTTGCTCCGAGAAAAGCAGTTTGGGAAGAGGGGCGGAGGAATCTGGGCAAGTTTCCAGGGGGATTTCTCCAAGCCCCAGCCCTCTCCTTAATTCTTTTTCTTCAGGATAATGTTATTGATCTCTCCTAATTTAAATTGAAAATTCTGGCACTGGAGTGCCCTTGGCATCTCCACATTTCCAGTTCAAACTGGTATCAGGTCCCTGTTGTATTTCTCTTCCTCCTCTCTGGGAGAACAAGATTTTTAAGAGGAATCCCGTTGTTGCTCCGCTGTTTTAAATCCTACCCCTCTCCAATCAGGGCCATGCCCTTTCCCTCTTTCACCCGCTTCTCAGAAGCTCAGAGGATGGAGAGTGAAAAAGTGAAATTTTTTAGGAGAATCCTGTTGCTACTCCATTGTTTTAAATTCTGCTCCTCACGCTTTCACCTTTTCCTGCTTCTCCCCTTTCCCAGCAGCTCAGGGGCTGGTGAGTGAGAAAGCAGCAGAGAACAGAGCATTGGAGAGCGGTGCTGGGCTCGGACCGCACTCACCCCACAGTTTGGAGCGGGAGAAGCCCCTCGGCTCCAACAGGCGCAAATCGAAGCGCCCAGACAAAGCCGTGCTCCCTGGTACTCCGAAACCCACCGTGCTCCCCAAACCCGGCTGTGTCAAACCCCTGCGTGGAAAAGGACCAGCCCGGGAGCGGCCATTTGCCTGTGCCGACTGCGGGAAGAGCTTCCCCTGGGCATCGCACCTGGAGCGTCACCGGCGCGTCCACACGGGCGAGCGGCCCTTTGGCTGCCCTGAGTGCGGTGAGACCTACAGCCAGAACTCCCACCTGCTGCAGCATCGCCGCACCCACCTCAGCGACCGCCCACACAAGTGCGGTGACTGCGGCAAGCGCTTCGCCATCGTGGCCGAGCTGGCGGCCCACGGCCACGGCCATGCCGCTGACAAACCCCACAAGTGCGAGGACTGTGGAAAGGGCTTTGTGTGGGCATCGCACCTGGAGCGGCACCGCCGTGTTCACACCGGCGAGAAGCCCTTCGAGTGCCCCGAGTGCGGCGAGTCTTTCAGCCAGGGCTCGCACCTCGCCAAGCACCGCCGCAGCCACACAGGCGAGCGGCCGCACCGCTGCCCGGCTTGTGGGAAGACCTTCTGCCAGAGCTCCGACCTGGCACGGCACCGTCACACACACCTGGGCAGGAAGGCCCTGCACTGCGGGGACTGTGGGAAGCTGTTCCGGGCGGGCCCAGCACTGGCGCGGCACCAGCGGTGCCATCGCCGGGAACACTTGCACCACTGCACCGACTGCGGGAAGGGCTTTGTGTGGGCATCCCACCTGGAGCGGCACCGGCGCGTCCACACAGGCGAGCGGCCCTTCCCCTGCAGCAGCTGTGGCGAGCGCTTCACCCAGAAGGTTCATCTGCTGCAGCACCGCAAGACCCACTCGCCGGAGAGGCCCTACAAGTGCGGTGACTGCGGCAAGCGCTTTGGGGAAGCCCCCCCGTTCCTGGTGCACCAACGTGGCCATGCCGTGCAAAAGAGCTACACCTGTGGCGACTGCGGGAAGGGCTTTGCCTGGGCGTCCCACCTGGAGCGGCACCGCCGTGTTCACACCGGCGAGAAGCCCTTCGAGTGCCCCGAGTGCGGCGAAGCTTTCAGCCAGGGCTCGCACCTCACCAAGCACCGCCGCAGCCACCTCCCCAAGGCCGTGGGGCAGTCACCCCTCACCAGGACACAGCTCGCGGGGGACGTGACTGGAGCTCACAGCAGCGAGGACCAGTAAGGACCAAGATTCTCCTCGGTGTGATGGACGTGGAGAGATAACAGAGGGAAAAACTTGTCTTGGGGACAAGCCAAAGGACACCGAGTGGCGCTTGACGGGCATTGGGGTGAGTGACAGGGGTGCTTTTGGCACAGGGCACTTTATCTGCCCTGGTGTCTTCCCACAGCAATGGGTGGACGTTGCACTTGCTGCAGTCCAGACCCCAGAAAAGGGACAATCTGGGGCAGAAGGAGCCTGTTCCTGAAGGAAACGGCACTTGGCTCCGTCGGGGAGGGATGGGGGGACAAACAAACAGCAGGAATAAACTGGGAGCCCTGTACCTCATGGACACCTGTGTCTCTTTGTCCTCTGACCCTGTGCCCTGATGCTTTACCTGCTCCAGGCAGGAAACTCCACAAGCACCTTCTTCTCCAGAGACAAAATCACGCAGACACGTGGAGGAGTTTTGCTTTTTGGCTCAACTGCCTTCTCCTTTAATTGTCACTCCAAGCCCAGGAAATCCAGCCCGGCTTGTCCAGCATTCCCACCTTAATGCACCCCGACCTATCCTTTGTACACCCCCATCAAGTCTGTGGAGGTCCCAGCAGTGCTGATGATGGGTAGAGGTCCCCAGGACTCTTTTCTGAGCTGTTTGGCCCCAAAAATCCCTGTGGAAGGGAGTTCCTGTATGGTTTCACCCTGCCACGCACCCAAGTTGAGTCCCCCTCATTTACCCCACTACTAGTAGAGCAGAGAATGAGGAGGGTTATAGGGAAAAGTGTCTCCCCACCACCCCAAATGATACCCACTTCTCCCCAAATCAACCCTCAGGTTCCCCCATTCCTCTTCTCCCCGTCTCCCCCCAAAACCCTCTTGGCAGGCACAGCTGCCCCTCCCTGTGCCCCCTTCCCACCGCTTCAGCCCTCATCCCCACCCTAAGCCTCATTCCAGGGTATCCTGCGCCCCCCCAATCCCTTTCCCATCCTGGGGCAGGAGCAAGACCACCCTCCCAGTGTGGCTGTGGGGTATCCCCAGAAGTGGAGTGGACTCTGAGCACCCCATCCCCACCTCAGGAGCTGGGAGGAGGAAGGGACAGCCAGGGCTCTGGTGGGGCTGTGGCATTGCTTTGCAGAGTGTTCCCCTCTCCAGGCCTCCATGCCCCAGTGAAGGGCAGAAGAGCTTTAGCCACCCAGCCCCTGGGCACTGCGGAGGAGGAAGGCATAGGATGCTTGTGCAAAGCAGAGCTGGGCCCCTCAGGCCAGAGCTCAGGGGGTGTGCCCGTCCCCCCTCGCTGTTCACCCTCCCACCCCGCGGGCGGCATTTTCACCCAAATTTTACCCACACAGCTCATTCCCAATGCACCAAACGCTGGTGCTCATCCCCAGAGTCTAGGACACTCTTTCTAGAGAATCGTGTCACAAATTTTCCAGATCATCCCCAAACCCCCTCAGTAATTGCTCCTCCTGCCCAGAAAGGATAAATCACCCCATTATTTCCCCATTATCCTCTGAGCCTTAGGGGGAAAACTGGAGTTTTCCCAGCTGTAGGAAGAGCGTTTGATGCTTTCCTTTACAAAAATAATGGAAAACCAAATTCCCATTGCTCCACTCATCCTTCCTCATCCTCCTCAGGTGGAGGTGTGCGGCAGGTGCATAAGGATCCAAATTATTAATCTCATTTTTATTAATTTATTATTATTATTCCTGGAGGGGGGAAGAGGGTGTATTGAAAGATTCTGAATAACTTACTGATGGCAGGAAAAAATGGCCAGTTTCCAGCACAGATCCCTCCTGCTGTTTTTCACTTTATTTTTATGTATGTTGGAGTCCCCATCAGCATCTCGTGCCACTTTATTTATTCCTCAGTATTTTGCCACTCTGCTAAAATAAATGGAAATAAAGGGGTCTACACATCCGAAGGAATCCCCCTGAGGAGGAAGGACAATAGGGTGGGTTTTGGGGTGGGAGAGCGTTGTGGGTTTTTTATCATTTTCCCCCTTCCCTGGGACTGGAGAGAGGAAAATCCAGGACTCTGAGGGGAGGATGGAGGAGGGAAGGACGGAGATGGGGAAAAACAAGCCATTTTTCTGCCTCTTTTCCCGCATCCTTACCCAAATCTCCCCGTTACCTGCAGGGTCCGGCTCAGGAGGTGCTGTCGGCAAAGCCCCCACCACACCCCCGCCCCTTCATTTTTCCCAAAAAATCCGCTTTTTCCCCACAAAAAATGGGGACGCGCACGTGGGGAACGTGTGAGCCCGGTCCCTCCTATATCCTAAGCTATAAGAGTTTTAAAAAGGAAGGAAAGAAGGAATTAAAAAAAAAAAAAAGGGGAGGGGGTGTGGAAGAGGGAGGAAAGTACTGTGGACAATGGCCGCTGCCCTCTGGCGGCAAGAACCGCGGGTCTGGGCGGAAATTAAAAAAAAAACAAAACAAAACAAAAACACCCCAACACCGCTCAGTGAAGGGAAAAAAAAATAAAAATAGAAGTGGTTCTGGGGTTCTCCTGCCCCTCTGTGGGGATGGGGATGAGCTGAACAGTCACTTTGCCTGCGCGGAAAAACCCCCTAAATTTGGAGCGGGGAGAGATACAGGGGGTGTTTTAACCAGTGTGGGCTGAGGGGAAGGGGCTGCAGGACCCGCCCATTGCGGCGGCCGCCGTGACCCTTCACAGCAGGAAAAAGAGACGATTTTGGGGGTAGAAAAGGAGTTTTCTGTTAACGGGGGCAACACGACATCAAGGAATGTCCCCCCCAC